AGAAAGAAAGAAAAGAAAAGAAAACTGTGTCTACTTGAAAAAACATTGATATTACTTTGTAAGATAAGATGAGCTGGCAAAGATATATTTTTCAATCCAGTGAGCCTCATATTATCTCAAAATCTAAAATCACCTTTGCTTTCCTCTTGACCTTCTTGTTGCTTAATGGTGAGGAACTATTGTGTTGGCCTAAAGAAGCAGGAAATATCTTAAAGACAAATATTAACACATGAAACATATTAATGCATGAAAGCTCCAGGGAATGTCCTTTCAGTGCAAGGTCACTTACATGGTCACTGAATGCATCATTACGTTTGGTCTCACAAAATTACCACAAGCTACATGTGTAGTGTTTGTGAAGCGTTGTACATTGTACATACATATCTAGCTTAGATAGATCTTTACATTTTTGGGCAGGGTTTAAATTCGATCTGAAAGACAATGGATAATTCATTTTCACTGTTTGTTCCACAAGATGGATGGCGTTTCTCAGAACAAGCAACCAAAACAATAAACATTCAGTTTAGTGTCCACTGAGTGTTCAGCATGTCCTGTTTTTATTATTTAAAGAATTGTTTAGTCTGTGTGTACTAGTGATCATAAACCGATACATGAAATGCAACTAGTCAAACATTTTTAAAGCAGCATCACAAATCCTGCAGCTATCCCTCGAAGAATACGTGCTGATATGAAGATGATATGTGTCCAGACAAAGTATCCTCTGTGCTGCTTGTTGTTCATGTAATCATCACAGTCACAAAAATCTACAATCAAAGAAAATGTGAGTAGGATTATGGCTAGAAATAATAGAATGATTATGTTATTATTGAGAAATTATGTTATCTGGAAGCTGAATGTAATTTTTGTTATTCTGGAGAAAGATTAAAACTTTGTTTACTGATCACTTCTCTGTTAACTTGTGAATAAAGCAGCAACGTTCTGAGACTGTCAAAGGGACAAAGGCAACATTTTCTTTGGTTAGAAATTGACCTTTTTTTATAAAGCAGTAATACCACAGAGAAAAATCCTTGTCCTCAAAAATTCTATTGGCTGGAGATTCATTTCTTTCATTCAATTTTCACTGAAATTAATATGTAATCTGATTCAAAATGACATATAATATGAAAGTGTTAGCATCTTTAGTTTGACACTTTGAGTCACTTTTATTCATTATACTCTTCTGGAGGTTTGGATTTAAGATTTCCAGGAGAAGCTGAATCAGGCTTCTAAAAGTGAATTGACTTTTGTTGGCTTCGAGCCAAGTGTACAGATGCAAGTGTAAAAGAAGAATGAAAAAAAATGTGCTAAGACCAAAAATAGTTCCAGTTTGGCAGCTCTCACCTTTTTTTCTGAAGGGAGTTGCAGACATTTCTTTCTTCCTCAGACACAAGAAGGAGGTAAAAGAGTTGTGATTTGTGGGAAGCATGGCCTCAAATACTCACTGTAAATTATGAAAACACTGGGCATCCCTTACAGTACAAGTCATATAGATGTTCACGTGTTTGCAATCCCTATTTCCTAAAGATGAATATCAGAAGGGCACCTAAAATAGACAGCTACAGCTTTCCCCTTTGGCACTTGAACTGACAAATAAAAAGACCATTGTACTTTTTAGTCATCTGAGTTCCTTATTGTAAGATCAAAGAGTAATAGCATAATGATTTATGTTTAACCTTTTAAGCAATTAGGAAAATAGCAATTATTGCAAAAAGTGCAAATTTTGTGTTTTCATTTATTTATTTACTCACTTTTCTAATTATGTAGAGGTCACAGTAAAAACCCCAAAGAATGACAACAGGTTAATGTAAAAAAAAAAAAAGGAGGGAGGGAGGATCTTTCCTTGCAGCGATCCCTGTATTCATCCCACAAGGATACTGTTTGATCGCCATAAAGATAACATGTTTATCTTTCCATTCATACCAAATAGGCCACGTTTCTTTCTTAGAGGTTTATCATGGAACAAATTATGAAGAAAAGCAATGTGTGTGCGTGTGTTTGCTAATGTGCAAACACTTACGTACTTGATCCAGATAAAATAGAAATGTGGAATTTTATTTGCCTCTTTGTTAACAAAGATGTAAACTTAGAGTTTATGGTTTTTCAGGGCTGTTATACATCCTTAGACCTGGATATTTCTACCTAAACCATGTTTTTGTTGAAATTAATCTTCAGATCGCAAAAAAATTCTTGGCTTTTTTTCAACAATGAGGTAACTTTTAGTCAAAGTCACTTATTTTATTAATCTGCTCTCCTTATCTCAGCTGTCCTAAAGATTCAAATCAAATATAACATTTTACTCTTGGGAGGGTGATAGTTTTGCACTAGAGTATATTTTTTACTGGTTTTAATAAAATCTTTACTTAAGTAAAAGTACCAATACCACAATTTAGAAACACTCTAGTATAAGTAGTCTAAACATCCCACATTCAAGCTTCAAGTAAAAGTATAAAAGATTAGCGACAAAATGTACAAAAAGAAAGAATATTTGTAAACTATAGCCATCAAATAAATGTAATGGAGTAAAAAGTAAAATAGATGTAGTAAAAGTAGGAGAATAACAGAATAAAGTAGAAATACTCAGGTAAAGTATAAAAAACTAAGAATTGTATTTGAATAGTTAATTTAATGTACTTTCCACTACTAAGCCACTATTTTTGTACATTATATCACAATAACACTGCTGTAATATCTGTACATTGTCCCTTTACAAATACTTTAGGATGACTATAGTTTGGTATTTTTTGACACTTTGTGAACATAAGTGGAAATGGTCAGTAAGTTTTTAAATTGACAAAATGGTAATTTAATGTGTAGTTCTGCAGTCTTGTTTTGTAAATATTGCGCTCACTCCAGTGTGTTTCCAAAGCTCTGATATGACTAAGATGCTGAGGCTGACTGAGTCACTGTGCAGTAGCACTTCGTGCAACTGTGCTACTGTTTGCACTGCAAGCAAATCTCATGACTCCTCCCCCTGAGAAGGCTGTTTAATTCCCGTGAGGTGATGCCCTGGTTAGTAACTTAATAAAGCTGCTGGATGCGATCCCGGGGCACAATGTGTGGATCATGTTCGAATGACAGACCTGCTCTCCTATCCATTCCTGCGCTCACACAGCCTGCTGCTTTCCTGTAAGTACTGCAGGTCACAGCCATTTCAACTTTTAGATGTGATGAAGGGGGACATGTCTCTGCTGGTTGAAAAACTCACCAGGACTTATGAATGAAAACAGACAGACAGACACAACGGGAACAGAGAGAGGGAGAACATGTTATTGCATTTGGTAAGTTTCAGCCTTTTGACTGAGGAAACGAGATGACTGAAGTTATCAGTACAACTTTGTTGCCTTGGAGGTTTGTTGAAAGAAATGTCATGATATTCAATTTCATTTTCTGCATTTTTGTATGGTATGGTAACCCTAATTAAGGTAAATCATGTTCTGTTTGTCAAAGTACGTTTTTCTTCCATCCTGGTTAAAGTTCAGTGACTGACAGCAATTAAACATTGTATGCTTTGACTGTGTGATCATTTGCCCCTATACACAATGTTTAAAGAATGCTCTGTATTGCTTTTTGTGATGGAAAGTCACTGGCTTAAATCCCTAGTGGAGTTATAAATGTTGTGCCCAGAGGCAGCCATCCTGATAGGGTTCAGTACATTTCCAGCCACATGCACACACCAGGAATACATAAGTGGGCTAATCATTTTGCTCATTATTCTTTTTGCCAGGAGGTTCCTGTCCTGGTGTAACTGTCAGAGCATAATGGTGGCTTTTAAAGGGATCTGGACCAAGGACTTCTGGAGGGCTGTGTCTGGAGAATACCTGGCCACTCTCATCTTTGTCCTTCTCAGTCTGGGCTCCACCATCAACTGGGCTGCAGGGGAGGAGAAGCCTCCCCCAGCTGACCTAGTCCTCATCTCTCTATGCTTTGGCCTGAGCATCGCCACAATGGTGCAATGTTTTGGCCACATCAGCGGCGGACACATTAACCCAGCGGTCACTGCAGCCATGGTGGTGACTAGAAAGCTGAGCCTGGCAAAGGCGTTGTTCTATGTGGTGGCTCAGTGCCTGGGAGCTATTACAGGAGCTGGGATCCTCTACTTCGTCACACCTGCTGCTGTCAGAGGGGCCCTTGGTGTGACCACGGTGAGAATCAGGTCATATTAGGTCTTTTTTGTGTATGACACACTTTCTTACAGTTAAGTTAAATCTTCTGTTTCCAAGGTGAACTCCAAAATCTCAGTGGGACACGGCCTTCTTGTGGAGCTCCTTATCACATTCGAACTGGTCTTCACCGTCTTTGCTACCTGTGACACCAAACGCACAGACCTAGGAGGCTCTGCTGGCCTTGCCATTGGCTTTGCTGTAGCTATTGGTCACTTATTTGCAGTAAGTACCTTCTAGTAAGATAGATAAGAGATCCCTGTGAAATGCCAGTTAGGAGAGAAGAGAGAGAAAGAGAGAATATTTATAGCAGCGTTGCTAAACTAATTTTGGCCGTCTCTCCATGTTGTTACTGTATGTTCCAAAATTCTCATTACTCTAGCAAGAGGTCTATCTAGATTATATGAAAAATTAAATATTTACAGTAAATTTATATTCAAACAGTATAAAAAAAATCTTACAACAATAAATCAGCCTTAGAAAATCTTCTAGCTAACACTTTCTGTGCTCCCAACCGCAACAGTGAAACAGTGATTTAAAGATTCATCTCAAAATCTAAATAAATTCAACAAGGCACATTAAAAAATTGCAGAACAAGACCAGTTCCATGTGCAAGCCTCTTTAGCATGTTCTGAAAGCTGGAGCGCCGATGCTTCTTAAGAAAGAGCAGGTGCATTGAAGCATCTATTCTTCAGTGTGTGATATTGTATGCTTCTCACTGATTCACACCCACGTGAACATCTTTATTGGAGGCTGCCATCGCATAGCAACCAATCTCTGGGGGCTCCCTGAACCCTGCAGAGTAAATGAATGCACAGGGAAATAGATGTTATCTCTGGCACGGCTCAACTGATTTCTCCTTAGGTTTGTTTAGCAATTGCATATACACATATATTATGACTTGCGTTAGATACATTCTGCAGTGTAAGACATATTCTGTGAGTCAGTAAGACAGAATTGTACCTAAAAACATATCTCTGCTGATAATGTTATACAAATCCATGATGTTTAAACATTTAGACTGCAAAAAAGGCTGTTATGTGTCTTCCAGATCCCCTATACAGGAGCCAGCATGAACCCTGCTCGATCCTTTGGGCCTGCAGTGGTCACACTCAACTTCGAGAACCACTGGGTAAGAGATACTTCTCAAAGAGGATAATCTTTTGCATGGCCAAAATATTAGCCAGTTACACCTGATATTGGCTGGTTCAGTGTGCTTGGATATGTGCCACTCCTGTATTTATACTCAAGTGTTATAAATCAAAACTGTTCAAATATTATGTCATGGTAATAAGGATTTTATCTTATGTCCTGAAGGGGGCAAGCTCTACCACAGTAGCCTAGTGTGGCATTTGAAACCTGGTAAGGTCACATTTTCAGCACCATTGCCAGAACAGTAAAAACAGCTGTGACCTAAAGATGTAATCAAAGAATAGTCTTTCACTTTTATCAGTAAATGCAAGGAGAAAACCTTTAAATGCTTAAACATGACCCTTGAATTTATGACTTTATCCAACAAAAGAAGTGAAAAGGAATCACAATTTTACAGCATTTTTGCTTCTAGCTACATAATGAGACATCACTGAGCAAGGTGTAAAATAGCATTAGCTCTGAATTTTTGTACCCAGGCAATTACTTCCACTGAGCTATTTGCAGACAGCATGGTGTCATGTTGTCTGTGTGCGTGTCAATAACTGTCACTGTGGCTGGTATATTCGGAAGTCTCTTCTCTGGGAGGAAAGTGTTTAATACCACAGACACTCAACTACCTGCCTCTGATGAAGGTTGAACCTCTTTTCCCAATCTATAGCATAACAGAGGACAGTTTGACAGACTTTATAGCAAATGACTTCAGTAATAAAACATTTCCTACGGGCACTGATTAACCAGCTGACTAATTACGGTGTTTGTCTTGCTGTTTATGGTAGGTGTACTGGCTGGGACCTGTTCTGGGGGCCATCCTGGCTGCTGGTCTGTATGAGTACCTGTACTGCCCTGACCCTGAGCTAAAGAAGAGGATGAAGCAGGTCTTTCAGAAGGACCAGTCAGGGAAATACAGGGAGGTGGAGACGGAGGACATTGCCATCAAGCCCGGCTCCATCCATACCATCTCTGATGTGGAGAAAGCTGAGAAAAAAGATCATTTCCATGACTCAACGGGAGAAGTCCTGTCTTCAGCATGACTATCACATGCACTGGAAATGGAGACCAATCTGTAGAGTGGAATGACTTTGTAAAACTTTGTATCCATCTTGAACCTGTCCCCCCTCTAAAGACTCAGTCATGAGATTTGCTTGCAGTGCAAACAGTAGCACAGTTGCACGAAGTGCTATTGCACAGTGACTCAGTCAGCCTCAGAGCAGAATATGATTTCTGCCCATTAGGCTTCACAGCAAGGCTAAATTACTCTCATTGTCATAAAGCTAATATGATGCTGTGGCTCAATCACACAAACATCTACAACCTGTTCAATACTGCTCCTGAACAGCACTCCTACTCCTTCAACAATTTAGTAGCAGTGCTGGCATGTGGCGCGCATTGCACGCTGCAAAATGACGGCCCGCAATACATTGTGTTAAGGAAATATGTGTAAGGGTCAACCAATTATGTGAGGTCATCACGCTGAATTGGAGGACTGAAGAAGAATATGCAGCCTTGTTATTTTTGGATTAGTGTCACATTTGGTCCATGTATTGTATATGCAATAACAGGAGAGATGTTCCTTGTGATCATTAAGCACATTACAGGTCCCAAGCAATGTAAGACATCTCTGACAAGCTTTATTATCAGAGTTGTTTTACTGTGCTCTCTATTTTCAGTGCATTAGTCAGGGAAACAACCAGTTCATCTTTATGTAAACACTGTCTTTCTGTGTTTAGTGTACATTATGTTAAACAATGGATAATGATTTTGTTTTTTCTATTTCACTTTTTTGTGAACTGTTTTTATTCTCTAGATCTAGATTTGGTTCTTCTTATTTCTCCATATGATTTGCTGCATTTCATATTATTACTTAAATTATTGATAAGAGATTTGGAGGCTCTATCTTGATGAATTTGTGTTTTTGTGAATTTGCTCATTAATTGTTTTACAAACTGCAAGTGCTACAAAATATTTGGTTGTAATAATAAAGATTTTTCCTAATTTGTCATCATTAATTATTTAATAACCCCGTGCAAACCGGATAGCTGCACAAATCTACATCTTCCTCACACCATACCTACAATATAAGTCTCACTCGTTTCTAGTGGTACGAGCTGGGCACAAGGGAGAGGAAAGGTTCAGATCAATGATGGATTGGCTCATCTACCTTTAGATTATGTCTCCCTAAGGTCAGATAAATGTCCATGATGTGTGTTCCTTGTGAGTTAAGTCTCTGAGAATAGCTTCATGTAATCTCATTCTATCAGCAGAGAGCACAGGAAATGATACCACTTTGTGATACGAAATAGAGGCGATCTGTTATGTCTATGTTTTATTTCCTTTGCTAAAAGAACAGGTGCAATTCAATCTTTTCCTGTAATGTGGAGCAAATGATCAGCGCCCCTGATCCTGTTGCATCAACTGAAGTTGTCTACATGGTGCAACTATATTGAACACCAGTAAAATATACTACTAGGTATACTAGTATCCTACTACTATCAGATACTAAATCAAAATAGTTTTTTACTCCTACATGGACTAACTCCCCCATTTCAACTTCTTCCCTTAGTAAGTGCAGTTTTTATGTGTGACAACAGCATCACCTACTGGTTATAGTGTGAATCACCTCATGTGCAATATTGCTCCCATTTGTATTTCTCCAGGGGAGGGCAGCCACGAGCCTTGGATGTACAGGTTACACGGAAGACGTGGGTAGACACAAGTCAGTTTTATTCATAAGTCTGAGCCACAATTCATTTGAAACTGGTCCAGGCCATTAATTCAGCACTACACAGGAGGATTAAGTGCTGTAGAGCCCTATAACTAGGATCCAGTACTCAAATAGGAGCATAAGCGTTAATGCAAAAGTACCTTTTTCCTACAACCTTGGTATTCTCAGCATTTTACAGTTTTGTGAGAGGATTCTTGTTTTTCACCCCAGCTGCATACATTAAATAGAATTATCAATACAATTTTATATTAAAATGTTGCAGACAGTTCTCAGTGTTTTAAAATGAGTAGTATAAGATTGTTGGTGTGAACAAATGCTTTTTCTTTAAGGCCTCCTGGAGTTGAAAATGGACAGCATTGTATTTCTCAGCTGCACTATCCTGTACCTGCAGGCATGCTGCCTCTGTCCCTTAAGGCTTCAATGGCTCGAGGCCAGCACCCTCTCAGCTCCCCTTAATCATTTTTATAGCCTAAATAAATGAGTACATAAATCTGATGTCTCATGCATTGACTATTTCCTCTTGGGACAGACGATGGGGAATGGGCTCACTCAGTTTTGATTTATCAGCCCTTGCCCATCTGAAGATTAAATAGAGGAAGACAGGTGAGGAGAGCAGTCCCTGTTGGACTGGAAATTTTGTTTTGTGATGAATTTCATGCTGGTGAGAGAGAGTAAAATATTAAAAAGTATTTATAAGTGGCTTTTGTGACACTCGGAGCAAGGCAATGTTGAAGTTTCCTCGTGATACATGTTCATGCTCCTACATAAATGAGCTGTAAAGTGCCAATCAAATCCTAAGATTTCATTGGAAAAATGCTCTCTGTGTGTTGACAAACTTCCAAAGGCTTGCTGCAGACACCTCAATTAGGAAGAGGCAAATAAAAAGTGACAGCAAATAATAGATCAACACTTTTTCAGCTGTCTGTTTGTTAACATCACAGCTTATCAGAAAGATGTTGAGCAGAAAACTGATAACGCATGGAGAGCCTTCACAGTCGCTGCCCCCATAATTCATAAATTTACATTCAAATGCATTGCAAATGCCAACAATGGCTATATGATGGGGATATTGTTATAACTAGAGCCTCATTTGCACATCATACGATGCCAGCAAAGTATATCTCAAAGTGCATCTCATGCTTATCTAACTGAGAACAGGCAGATTTCTTGCGACCCGAAAATTCAGATTCTCAATTCCCAGCATACAACAGAAGGGGCAAAAGATAAAACACACACCTTAAAGATCATTAGCAAATAATATTTGGGGATTCATGAAGAAAAACAGCGTTAAACACTTGTTTAATAATTCATACTATAAACAAGAAAGTCTCCCACTTCCTTAATAATTTAGACGTAAGCTAATGTTGATTTATTCAGGAAGGTCTCTGCCACCAGCACCGCCTGGAGTGCCCAAATTTGAATTAAAGTAGGACAGTAGCAGGCGAGTCTGTAATAACATTTGTATAATTTTATTATTGCTCTGGGCTCAGTTCATTTCCTCCTCCAGTAGCTGCGTGAAATTGTTTGATTCTGGAAACTGCCTTGAGTCTGCGGCTCTGGGGTTGGAGGGTGGTACAGGAACAGGAAGGCATGCGACACTCTCTCTCGCTCTCGCTCTCTCTCTCTCTCTCTCTCTCTCTCCGTCTGATGCTGTCAGACACATAAACACAGACACACACAACTCCATGTACACACATATACACACATGCAGAGAGAGAGAGAGAGAGAGAGAGAGAGAGAGAGAGAGAGAGAGAGATAAATAACTTTGTTATTCTGGGTTTTGTAATACTGTTACATTGGCTCACTTAATAACTCAAGCTGTCTTGAGAATATGATTGATATTCTCACTCACCTTGTCACTTATGATAAATATTTTACTGCATTTTGTGTGAGATAGCTAGGAAGCGGAATAACTCATTCATTACATTATCAAATCATATAAATATGAGAGTTTGTGTTTATGTCTTTTTCCAGTAGAGAGATTGCCATTTCTCGTTAATATTAGTCAGAGAAAGTCACTTCCACTGTTCCTGTGCAAAGAGTTTGTTTGTAAAGAAGCTGATCTGATGAAATCCCAGCTTTTTGTAACTTTACTACTAAGAAATATTTCATTTCAATTGGCCCACAAGGAAGAATTAAACTTCATAATCATTTGGATACTACTATACTGTGATTTTGTTTACCAATGATAGGACTATCATTTCCAAAATGGTAATTTACAAAACTCTGATTACTGTAACACAAACAATCAAGTTTGGGAGGTATTAGCTCATGTAACACACACCTGAGACCCCGGTGGCTTTGACACAGGAAGGGAGGGTGGAGAAGTTCTGATTGGTTTCCTCAGGGCTCTGCTTCCAACTTCCCACCCGCACACATTCCCTCACTCCTCCTCCTCTTCCCCCCTTCAATTCCTTTATGCAGAGCAGCCCAAACTGCAGTTTGATGAAACACATTTGTTTGACTTAACTCTTGCCTCGCCATCACGATTTAAATCTCGAAGGCCTGTCGGTGTAATGTGGCCCAACAGCAATTGGGTTAATGAGAGGATATATGTACAAGTGTGGGACTTGACCGGAGGAGCTGTTTTCCATTTGGGTTTGGTCTGCTCGTGTTATTAGGGAAACCTTTATTATTGTTGCCCTCTAGTGGGAACCATATAATAGGATTACATTTTATTAGAGCCTCCCAGCATTACCCAAGCAGCCCCCTCCTCTTGTCTCTGTTCCCCTCATAGTGGTGTCACTGACTCCTCTGTCCACCGTGGGTGGGATGGGTGGATTTGGGGCTAAAAGGGAAGCAAACAAATGGGGATGCAAGTTATCCCATACAATGGGGATCCTTTTCTTAGCTACATGACAAGTGACTTGTCAATGTAAAGCCTTAGTTTTTGATCACTGTTGTCAAAATGAAAATTATTTCATGAGCAGAATAGAGTCTGACATGTGTGCTATGCTTGTGAGGTGCAATAACCCCATTGTAACAGTGAGCAGAGATATGTACGTGCAAACCCCACAGTGTTTGCATATTGGAAGTGTGTAGCATGGGCCAAGACACAGCTACAGCGCACAGGCTTGTTGGTTGCCTTTACTGTATGCTATCACTAACTGAACAAAGGAGCTCCTCAACCTGTCATATAATTACCATTGTTAATGTTTATCCTCCCATATCCATACCTGATGGTATGACTTTGACTACACTGTAGAAACTGAGTTATTTCTCCAGAGCTAAATTTCATTGTGCCAAAGATAATATTTGATGAACGGTTCTGGCCTAAAACTGTGCAACCCTGCAGGGCAGACTGAGTCAGGCTCTGGAGCAGCTTCAGCACTTTCCCTTATCCATCCCACTCCCTTACATAACCACAGGCCATTAGAGGGGTGTGGCGAGTACAGCAGCAGTTATTAAAATGGTCTGAGGCTAAACCAACATCTCTCTTAGTCCACACTGACTGGTTTGCAAGGCCCAGGAAGGCTAATGTCAATCAATGACTGCAATGGTTGTTCACATTGTTTGGCCACTTAAACATTATCTGACACTAGAAATTAATGTCACAAAGATGTTGTGAGCAATAAAGTATCTTTGTTAATAATAAAATAATAAAAATAATAATAAAATACATATCCAAAACCCAAAATGTTACTTTTAAATGAATGATGATAAACCAGAGCCTTCTTGGTTTAAATGGTATCAGATTTCAACTTTAAAGGGAAATATGTAACGTTTGCTAAACAGAGCCATGAGTATGGGATACCTCTAAATGCTACAATGCTGTACAGTAGCAAGTAAAGAAGAATGAAACAGACCAAGTGCTGTTCATTATACAGCGACATCTATTTAATGTCGGCTAACATTAGCCACCATAAACTACTGGTCATATCACACCAAGTTAGATTGCAGCTGGAAATCCCTTGAGTGTAGTAAATTGAGAAAGGGCTTTAGGGTGTATAAATTGTTTATGAATTTAACTTTTCATTTCTAAGATGAAGAATGTGTTACTTAGTGTTGCTTTAAGTGCACAAGTTAAGGCAAAGAACCTAGATAGCCAAACCAATTAGAGTTTTTTTTGTGTGTGTGAAATGACTGCAGTGAGTATCTCAAAATTCCAGCAAGCAAAAGTTTTCCAGGATTCCTCTCTCCCTTCTCCTGTGTATGCATTTATAACCCAATGATGTCATTTAGGCTAGGCAGTATCTTTTCGGGGCAAACTCACATCTGCAACCAATCTGGATAATTTGTCCACCAAAACATGGCGCAGCCAGCCAATGCCTGCCTGCTGTTACTGCTGTAGCAGTTAGGTCTATAGATCCAAGGAAAATACCACAGTTGCAACAATGGACTTGTTTTTTTGGTATTAAACACCACATGTATTCAAAGATCTACACTGGTTAGTTTCAACAACATCTGATGCAAATTTTGACTACTGAAGTGAGAGGATCCCATTATGAATGGGCTCCATTTGCGTGGAAAATGGATAACTTATAGGATTTTAAGGCCTGGGGTGTTCTTTGTTCACTATAGTTTGTCAGACTAATGGCATAAAAATGTGTGTGTCAGTGTGTGTTGGATTATAGTCGAGGCTTGGTGTATCATGCACCAGCCAGTAACCTCTGGGGCAAATAACTTCATTGTAACACTTTAATCCTATGTTTGTTTTCCTGTGGGGACATGTCGGTCAGAAAGTGGAAAGTTTAATGGTCCCTGGATCGGATGGGCAAGGGATAGTTGATCTTTCCTCAAAAGCAATACAGTTTATCATCTACAAAAGATGCTCTGAGAGGGGAACTCTTTTGATGAAGAGAATTGGAAAATCGCATCCATCAGTCAGTGGTCCCTTGACGTGGTATTCTTATTACACTGTTGCTCAAACTTCAGAACAAACTTGGATCCGGTTTTCTCCCTGGGTGAACATACAAAAATACACAGCCTAATTGTAAATATTTGTTTCAAACTGACTTTTTTTTTATTCATACTATTTATTTATGCCTTATTTCTGCTTTTCAAGTTGGGCAATGTTACAACAACATGGCCAAATTGATTTGCTTCATAGCTGCTGTTAAAAAAAGTTGATGCTCTAAACAGTAGGGGGCGCAAGAGCGGATATGTCAGCTTTAATCCACTGAATATGGCGTGAGAATAACTGTTGAGAATGTAAAGACATAACTGTGTCAACTCTGTGTCCAGATGTGCACAAAATAACACTCTATTCAAGACAGAATTACGCATGTTCACATGAAGGAATTTTACAAAAGGGAAGACTTTAAACATGTGATTCCTTTCCCGACTGCATCCCCCAAGTAAATCTAAAAGCCTCAGAAGTGCCTCAATCTTCCTGAAATCATGCATGGTTGAACATTTGAAATGAGCTCGCACATCACCCCCAGGCACTGATTCAGACTTGATTGGGGCAAGGCAAGCTGCAAGTGCTTATTTATACAACTACGTCATTTGGAGGTTGTCCAAAGGGAGGAAGGAGACTGAAAAGATTACAGAGGAGAAACTACAGAGTGAGAATTTCATTAACCACATTCCATTAATTTAATAAGTTGATTCCAGGCTCATCAACAAGTTGTCTGGTGCACATACAGTGTGTATGGCATGTGTTAAAGAAGCTGACTAGATAGGTTAGATGTTTGAGAAGTAGGGGGAAAAAATCAAAGGACTCCACCAACAATCTATATAATTATCATCATCTGCTGCTTTTCCTCCCTGGCAAAGAAACACTCCATCCATTTGTAGCAATCGCCCGGGGGAACGTTACATCAAAACTAATCATAACGATTAAAATCAGCTTCTCTGCGAGAGGGAGGCAATAGGCAAGTTGGAGGCAGGAGGAGTGAGGGTGTTGTAAATGCAGAAAAAAAAAAAAAAAGATTTCTATATTTGATTTTATAAAAACATAAACTCAACAAAGACTGAGGAACTGCTGCTGTGATCTCTTCCTTTGCTCGGAGTTTTATTCTGAAGATTGGTTTAGACTGGGGCAGAGACATGAGCTAATTGTATCCTGATCTTTGCCTTGAGGGGTTTCAGAGCCCTGGAGCAAGTATTCTCTGTATTTTGTTCTGTCTACCTTAGCCAAGCTATTGCATTTCTCACTGGTGTAGGAAGAGAAGCAGATCGTGGGCCAAATCGGAGGCAAAAGGTGCACAAAAGAGATACTTTATGCCGCTCTATGTTTCAGGTAAGCGGAGATTTATTTGGTTTGCTATTATTTCCGTGGCTGGATGGACTGGGACATTGAGGCGCAGCAGCTTTTACGCATGTGCCAAGCGATTCGAGCGGTACAGTTCTTAAAAAATATTTAACCACTTCCTGGCTATTGTTCCGTAGTTACTGTACAAATGTATGCTCGTGGCTACAATATACGAGGCTTTAGTACATCTGGGCTAAACGAACAGCGGATTAGACTGCGATCTTGTCGAGCAAACACTCTACTTGTCCACCGTGTGAATTCGCTCCTGGCGCGTTTCAGCTCCGAACACATCACGGTCTCCGTGTCGCTGTTGCTTTTATATAACTTGCTCATAACTTACTCAGACCTGCGTTTTGTCGTTTCAATGAAGACTTTTTGAAGTCGGGTTTTTGTCGTGAAATAGTTCTATTTCCTGGCTGCCCCAGATCTTCTAATGAAAGACGCCATTGTGGAGTAATTTTGCCGCGGGCGTTTTTGTGTATTCTGTAAGACAGGATGTACCTTTTCCACACGTCAATGCAGAATCTGTGAACCATTTAATGCCACCTTTAATATGAGCCGTTGCCGTGTTAAGAGAATCATATTTATGTAAACGAAGACAAAGATAGGAGCGAATTTTGTCCTCTCCTTTCCTCTGTTGGTTCCCTGACCGCGCCGTGCGTAATCAACTCCAGAGTCCGAATGCGAATCAGCAAATGTAGTTTACTAAGTGATAATGGAAACCCATTCTGCGTATAGGATCATGTATTGTTTATATAAATATCTACTAATGCTCATAAAGTTTATACTTTATACTAATTTTATTTTACACCCTGAACAAAAAACAGATTTGATACTTAAATATTCCTCACTGCACTGCAGGGAGGAGGATACTTTAAATGACATTTATTAAATGTAACATTATAAACAAAAACCCTCTAAGTTCTGGTCACCTGTACTGAAAGCCAATACCCGGTTTCACCAGTTTCAGAGGATGCATGAATAAACAGAATGAGACCGAGATGTTGTCAGGACTGATCACTTGATGGCGCTGTACTAACAAAACCACACTACTTCCCTGTACATACAGCATCTGTACATCTGTTTCCCAGTCAAATTAGACTTAACCAACAGATAGAAAACGAATATTTAAAAGGCAACTCAGTTAGCGCCCATTACATCTGTCAGACTACATCATCAGTTCCAGTTTAGAGGTGCTTTATTTGCTAAATTGGAACTCCATGGAGTTATTATATTTCATATTTTGGCTGTGCCACTCCTGTGCTCTGGGAAAGTTTGGTATTTGCCAGTGAACATGCACCACTGTCTCCAGTAGCCTGCAGCAACCCAGCACTGATCACACTTGTCTGTGATGTCATGCTGATGTGCTGCTCTACAAAGAATAATGTTTAAGTAGGCAAGTACTTGTTATAATACTCAGGGAAAAATTATGTGTTTCTCATTGCTAAAAAAAACTGCTATGAAATGAAACAGGCCTGGGTGTAAAATATGAAACTCTGTGTCAGTTCAGTTTGCCTTTAAGTCATTGTTAGCGGGGCTTGAGTTCTATAACATTGCCGATTCTGGATTCTCAACCACTGATTGGATAACCATGATCTGGAGGTCAAAAAGTTGTTTATCCAGAAAATCACATTTCTTCTAGCTCTCAAGCAGGTCAGCGAGGTCTCTTTGCTCTGGTAACTTTTTTATCTGCAACCTCTTCATCCGTTCACTGAAGTATTTTTTGTATTTGTCACCATAAACTTACAAAGCTCCTGCTGCTACTGAGAAATATGCTTTTAAGAAATACAAGTCAGTTTGAAGTTGTGACTTGTGAGGTTGGCATGATGCAAACCACGAACAACATTATCTCTGTACTCATCAAACAAACACACACACACACACACACACAAAATGGTATTGCTTGGGAGCTGTGAATTTATAATTTGTAATGTCGATTTTTAAAACACAAAGTCATGTACACCTGACCAGGCAACCAGCCTACAATATTTACTCAGGCCATTCTTTTAGGGCAGTCTTTCTACCTGTTATTTTTCTGCCTTTACAGCCGGCAGTGAAGTTAACCCAAAGTCTGTGTGTGGACATTTGAAACAAATGGCCGTGGGCAACAAAGCAGAGACAACCCATCCAGATTATGTAAATACCAGTCTGCCTGCCTCGAACTGAATGTTAATGCTCTGATCTGAAATGCTAATTGTGTCTTGTGCGATATGTCGAAACACTGAAGAGCTGCATTGTGGGATGGAAAATTGAAAGCTAGTTTGTTGCTGATGTCGATCCCAACAGGCCCTTTGATTACAACTGAAAGGTTGCTTGCTAAGTTTTCTGGAGTATTTGTGGGTGAGCTTACTGCATTAGCTTATTGTAAACACAGCCTTTATGTTTGTTCCTTGAGATGTAAAGAAGATGTTAAAATGATGATTTTGCATAAAAGGCTTGAAAGACTTGAGACCAGTGATGGAAAACAAGAGGAGAAACTGGAGCACCCCTAGTACTCCGGGCTTTGATGCACTGTGCCTGTTTTAGATTTGTTTGTGCATATTGTGGTGCAACAAGATTACACGAGCTGGGTAAACGAACAAATTCCCTAAACACATACGTTTCGACTTGTTTCACAAAGGCTGGAAGGTTTGGGAACACATCTACAAACACACCCGCATGGGAGACTATTGTAGCACTAAATTTGTGCCAAATTCAAAATGGCAACAGGTAGGAAAAGTGTGCTCATGTGGAAGGTCTGCTGTGCACATCTGGAGATGATGGCGGACACATGAGGATCAATGATCGGGCCGCCATCACACGCTTTTACTGATGGTCCGTGAGGACATGTGACCTTTGATCTGTCCTTGAAATGAAAGCGTAAAAATACAGAAATGCCATGTGGACCATCAGTCTGACAAAAGGTCCAAATGTAGGCTTACACTTACTTTGAACAAGTCAGAGTGATTTTGTGATATAAGAGCTCATTCCCACAACCCGCTACCCTCTTCCACCTCCCACCCACCCAACCATCCGTTCCCTTTCACTCTCTCTTCTCTCTCCCCTGCAATTTTCCATAATGCCTTACAGATTTTACACTCAATCCACCTTTGCGATGACAAGGCTTTGAGGAAATCCAATTCCACCAAGCTGTTTTCAGAACTTACTCTCCACAGGCACACAGTCGCTCTCACACTCACTCAAACACACACACACACACACACACCACCATCTTCACAAATTAGTCAGGGAACAAATTACCTGCATTCTGAGTGTGATCCCACGCACTTTGCCGGCTGCCTTACACAGGTCCCCTTTTGAAGAGCAGCCATGTGATTTCTCTCTCTTTTGCCCTGCAGGCCCCTTTGCCTTCTGCGAGGGATTCTGGAGTTGAATTTTAAAACTATGTATGGCTGCTGCCTGCGCTTATCAGCGCGTGCACAAGCGGCATGCAAATCAGACCAGGATCACACACCGCATTGGAGGCCTACACTCAAAGGCAAGCTTAATTGCTAATTGGGTATCTAGGTGTGAAACTCACACTGCCAATGAGAAGCAGGAATGTGGATGTTTTAAGGCCAGTGGTTGAACTAATTAATTTTAATCTGAATGTTATTAAAATTTGTGGATTCCCTGCATTTTCTATGAAAAAAAAAACAGCCCAGGAGAGTGCTGTGGCAGTACTTTTAACAGCAATTGGACATGTTGTGGTCTGGTTTTATACTCCATGAAGTCATTAGTGTGGTGGTTTTGCAATGCCGATGTGATCATCGGAGGTGGTGTTGTACACGCTGCAGTCATCATACAGTAACTCTGATATTTGTCAGGAATATAACAAACAAAAAACTGATCAAGGAGATATTTCATTTGTTATTGTCTTCCCTTAGGGACAGCTCTTTTGGAAGGGATGTGATGTGGTTCTTGAGCTCTGATGTTCCTTTTTGCACATAAAGGGCACTTAAGTTATTTATATTCTGACCAAATAAGAAAAATGCACTTAAACACTGCATCTGAGCAACTGAAAATGCTATTAGTGGTTGCTTTTGTGTGACTGGAAAGATCATCATCAGTCAGGTGCTTATGAGTGATGTGTGTGTTTGTGGGTGGAGGGTGTTAAAGGGCCATTTTTGTCCAGGTGGATGAGTGGGTTGGTCACCAATTGCGGTTCTTTCACCGTACTTTGGACTTTGCGGGTCTGTGGTGTTAAAGGGGCTAGAGCTTCTGCTCAAAACTGCTGCTGAACAATGGGCAGCGACACCAGGAGGAGAAAGACTGTTCGAAAAGGGCAAAGGCCAAGCTGTGACAGGTCCACATGTGCGCGTCACATAACCAGAAGATCGGGGTTTTTTTTTTTTGGTTAGACAGGTTTTGTTTTATTCTGAAAATGCGACACAGATACCTGCCGCTGAAACAGCGACAGCCCAAAAGAGCCGCAGGCGCCACAATGCTAATGTTGTCGGGGGCTTTGACTTCTCCCAGCCATTGCAAAGAAGCTGCTCCGTGTGACAGCCACGGCGCCGCTCTTCCCCCGGTGTTCACTACCCCAGCTTTTCACGCCTCTTCACGATTTGGCCACGAAGTGTCTTGAGGGGGGTAAAAAAAAAGAAAAACGACCGCGTCCTATCTGTTAACCTTAAAGTGCGCGTTGTATAATGGACGAAACGGACATCATGGACTTAACGCATCAGAAAGCGAGAAAGCGACCGCGTCCAATCAGTTCCGTGGATGACTCCGTGCATGCTTCCCTCAAACGGCTCCCGATCCGAGGAGCGGAGTGCAGGGAGCCCTCACTCATGTTCGCAGTCAGAGGAGAGCCTGTTCCCGCAGCATCTCTTAAGCAAAATGACCACTCGGTGACTTCCTCTCCAACCACAGTGATGCCGGCGCAGGTAAACGCGTAAAGTCCGATGTTGTGTGGTAGAAAGAAACAAATAAAGGAGACATTACTGTAAGAACGGGGGGTCGAACTGTCACTTTTGCTAGAGGAGCGAGCCACTTGTGTTTTATTGTATGCAGTGTTTGAATACATTGTCTTCCTGCTGTCCTTAAATGTGGAGTGCGCACTATTGTCACGTTATTGGAACATCACGCACGCACTCTGTTGCTGCTTTAATTTGCTATTAAACCTGTTTTGATCCTTTTCAGAAGATGTTTTTATATATATATCTAACTGTATTCTAACCCTCTGTGATTGAGATCTTGACACTAGTATTTTCTCCCATCTTCACTCAGGGTGTGAAACTTTTGTGGGGTATGAAGTAATTTTCTTCTGAGAGCTTAACAGAAATTGTCTGCTAATGGTGTTTGTAGGTTAACAGGAGACAATTTTTCCAAATCCTATTACAGTATTCAAATCAAGAGTCATTATTGCTCATTTCCAAGACTATGAGATTGATGCTCCAAATTAATTTGGTTTTGGAGATTATGGCCCACAGGAGTGGATGCGTGTGGATTGTGGCAACATTCAGGTCAAGGTCAGGCTGCTCTAACTTGCAGAGAAGCAAATCTTTCACTCCTGACTGTGGAATTGTGTTATGTTGCAGAAATATTAAGATAGTTGTGTTTAAGGACTTTAATTAAAATGTTCTAAATCTTAACTATCCCTTGTGGTTTAATGGTGTATTTTTCATCTTTAATAGCACATCAAGATCGGCAGAAGAAAAACTGAATTGAATACTGATCTTCCTATCAGTCTCTCCGACCTGTGTCATAATATTTTCTTGTGTTTTACAGGATAATCGCTCCAGCATGTCCAGGCCCATGATCACACGGTCACCGGTGTCTCCCTTGAGTAACCAGGGCATCCCAACACCTGCACAGCTCACCAAGTCCAATGCCCCTGTGCACATTGATGTGGGTGGACACATGTACACCAGCAGTCTGGCCACATTAACAAAATTCCCAGAATCCCGGTGAGTCCATTCTACCATTCATCTGTATTAAGTGTTTGATGGAGATAAAGTTAGTTTTTTTTGGCCGTGTTTTGTTTGTGTCTTGTATTTAGTCTTAAAACAAGGAAGAAGATTCAGTGTCATATAGGGAGTATATTTCTGTTCAAGCCAGATGTGTTTATCAGCATCAGAATGTCATCCTGTTTAATGTTTAATGTCATCCTGTGACATTAAACAGTCAAATGTCACATCTCATCAAATCACAAAACAATTTCACGGATGCACTTGGCGGAGAGAAACTGCATATATGAAATGTTTACTCCTTTTATCCCAAAAAATCTGCAGTATCAGTTGCTTTTGGATTTATAAGGTGATATCACAAACATTTTTCCTTGTGAAGTGAAGCCCACAGTTATTTTGAGCAGTAAACAATTTGTAGGAGCTTCAAGTACCGAATGCAGTGCACAGACAAAAGCAACTTGGTTATTCTGACAGATGTCACAGCAGCAGTAAAGGGCCAAAGGGCATGGGGCCATCTGGAGGCTGGGAGGCCGCACTGTCGCTCGAAGCCTGGGCCTGAGGGTGACTGGCACCCAGCCTCAGGCAACCTACTACCAGCTGGCCCTGACCTTTTCAAACCACCTCTGCTTTTAATCTTTTTCTTTCTTCTTGTCTTTCTTCATGCTTGATTTGTGCGTTGAGTTCAGTAATGTGTGCATGTCTCTGCGAATGTGTGAAAAACATTTCAGAGCTTTGAGAAAATTAGTGAGTCACATCCCTTTGCACATGCTCTTGTTTTACTGTATCGTTTCTGCCTCTCTCTATCTTTTTTTTATTCCTTGTCTCCCACTATTCTAGGTGCAAGAAACAGAAGCATTAGCTCAAGAGTAGTATATAGATAATGAACTGAATAGGAACTTTTGCATGCAGAAATCAAGAAATGCAAGATTGTTAATGTTGACATGTTGTCCCCTGTGCCTCCTTCCTTCCCTCCCTTTCTGCCAAACCCACCACCCTCCCCTCTCTGTGGGTAGAATTGGTCGTCTCTTTGATGGCACAGAGCCTATAGTCCTGGACAGCCTGAAGCAGCACTACTTCATTGACAGGGATGGACACATGTTCCGCTACATCCTCAACTTCCTCAGGACGTCCAAGCTTCTCATCCCAGAAGACTTCAAAGTGAGTGGATGTCCATCCCAGACACTGTAAATTCCCATCAGCCAGTCAGCAGTCCTACAACTCAGCACACACACAATGAATGCTAAGGCCGTGGAATGCCTTTGGTCACTGGTCCTCCTTGAATTGCGCAAAACGGTTCCCATGCTGGAGACCAAATATCAGGGCAAACAAAGCTCGATCATAATGCTTTTACTCATCACAAGATGCAATTTGGTCGCCTCAAGCTATTGGTAGCCAAAGATTCTTATGAGATATGTAAGGAAAACAATAAGGTAGCATGAAAACAAATAAATAAATCAGCATTGCATGTGCGCTCTGTGTTCCTTTATGTGCCAAGTGTCCATCCAGGGTGAGTCTCACTGTATGTGACACATTAGCATTCCTTCTTTTTTTTTTTTACTCATATGTGTCATTTAGTCAGTAATTACTTAACTTGCCCTGGGAGAAAACAAATAACCGCATTATCTGATGGACTGTCCACAGTGTGACTCAATCAGTGGAAAGTATGTCAGCTAAAATAAGCAAAGACAAAAGACAGGCTCAAGTTCAGGCTAAGGCCATGTTCACATTGGGTAGATTTTGAGAGGAGCATGAGAAAACTTGATTGTGGTGCGATTCAGGCCCTGCAGTCCTGCGAGTAAAGGATCTGCTCCTCTACTCCACGCAACCCTGTGTTGCACGTCGCACTACATCTCCTCTACTTTGCTATGGTTTATTGCTCGTTCATGTAGAACAGTGGTTTTCAAACTTCTTTGTTATTTCTTTTTTTGGTTTGGATCCACATTAGAAAGAAAATCACAGCCTTAAACTGATTAGCCTATTGTGTTTGGTTATTTTGCTCTCTAGAATAGCATGATGTATTGCATGCTGCATTTAGGCTACCAGCTTCCCCCAGTTCAGTTCAGTCTACCTTTAAAATACAGGGAAAGTATCTTTGTACAATATATATATAATGTGTTTTTGTGGGGTTGCTTGAGGAAATTCTTGAGCTTTATGTAAAAAACAAACTAAAGAACTAATATTATGGGCTATTATCTGTAAATAAAAACATTCTAGACAACTAAAATGCATATTCTACACATTAGTTTAATAATACTGACACAACTCAAAGTATTTTGGAAAGTTTTCTGCTATTTATAATCGTTCCATTGCTGACCTCATGACCCAGCATGAGTCACATAATGTTCTCATTGTTATTTTGTAATTTTATACAGTATGCAACATTTTAATAGTCTGTAAACCTTTAAACCCTTAGAGTGTTTTTGTTTGGTAAATATATCCTGTTATCCACTGTGTTGATATTTAAACTTGGTCAAGCATCAAAAATCACTAGATTCATATTAGACTACATTGAGATTACATTAAATGTAATCCTTTTAAAGTATTATTTGAGCATATTTGCCTTTAATAGATAGGAGAAAGTAAAGCCCCAAGCTTGTTCTTTAAAGAACATTGGCATTGGCATTTATGATAAGACTTGGTACTTATCCTGGTAAGATCAAACTTGCATAAAAAGAACCACCATATCAAGCAACACATTTAAAACAATATACAGTATTTGGCATGTTTTTCAAAATTCTAATTTTAAATTATTATGGCTGATTCTCACTCATTTCTTTTTGCTCTGTCCTAAGATGTAAATGCCCTTTTGTCCCATCTACTACAGGACTACAGTCTGCTGTACGAGGAGGCGCGATACTTCCAGCTGCAGCCCATGCTTGCTGAGCTGGAGCGTTGGCGCCAGGACCAGGAACTGAGCCGGGTGTCACGCCCCTGTGAGTGTTTGGTAGTGCGTGTTGCACCTGACCTGGGCGAGAGGATCACGCTCAGCGGTGACAAGGCCCTGATTGAAGACGTATTTCCGGAAATCGGTGACGTCATGTGCAACTCTGTCAATGCTGGCTGGAACCATGACTCCACGCACGTCATCCGCTTCCCTCTTAATGGGTACTGCCACCTCAACTCTGTCCAGGTAATGGAACAGCTGGCTCCTGTGGGTATATTGCCATTTATACTTAGCGTTTTATTCAGCATTCTTTAATAAGTTAGATAAAGTAATGTTCTGCTGTATTTTTCATTCAGTTGTATGCACAGGGAATTGACTGCGGTGATGATTTGTTCATTCAGCTTCATCTGCTGTTATACTGTATACTTTTTAGAATTTTACTGATGTCTGACTGACATCTTATCTTTTTTAATCTAATCGAATCACAAGAAGAGCCTTGCAGAAAAATGAGTTCTTTGATGACTTCATCAAAGTATCAATTTAACAAGCCATCATTACGCAAGTCTACCAACATCTTTACTTTTCTGTGATCTGACCGGAATAATGATTTCGACTTTGGCTCTGGAGCTAGTAGACGGTCAGCTTTAATATCATGCGTCCCTTTGCAGAACTCTTAGTATGGTCCTCACATCTCACCCAGTTGCCCACTATGTTCCATGCAGATGAGAAACCTTTACAATTAATTTCAAAAGTCCTTTCGATTGTGGGCAGTAGTAGGGGCAGTAAATGGGTTAATGGTGGATTTAAAGCCATTAAGTGAAGGAATGGCTGACACCTTGAAGTGTGGTGGAGAGTCAAATTAATGTGCAAACTGAGGGGAAACTGGCTGACAGTAAGAGGTACTTGTATAGACATACAATGATTTCCCTGAGTATCTTAGCGGGTTGTTGGATCAATGATCAGTTTAAAATAAAAAAATAAAGGCAAACAACTCAATATAACACATCAAAATCAGTAGAACATTTTTTGTGAGACTTCTTACCAAATAGTAGTTTAAGTTCTGCAGATCAACAAGACTCCATTACATTAATACCAGCAATTGCCGGGTGTTCTGGTAGTAGAATAGTAGTCTTATGGGGTTATTTTTGTTGATGAAAGACATCCTTTACTGTTGTCTTAATCAACACATTTAAGGTGTTGGGAGAGCTGTGATGTCATGGGGAATAAGACTATAACTAGAAGTCCAATTATTATCCAAAGATGGATCTATAAATATGTTTCTGTGAAGAACTAAAGGCCAAGTGTACTCTTAATACTTGCTGTTACATGTATAATACTGGATAATACTGGATTTAATATTATCCTTACTTGGGCATAAAGGGGTTCTAGACAAAACCATACGTAAGACTGAAACAAGAAAGCTTAAATTCATCTTTTATATTCAGCATGTATTTGGCAATATTGTATTTACCTAATTATATATTGACATTCCACTAATTCATTGATAGTAATATCCTCAGATACACATCAATAAATGATGGAGGAGAGGCATATTTGAAAAGATTTCACAATGATTTGGACTGTGTCTCCATCTGAGGAAGTCAAATCTCCATCTCCCTCCCAAAAACACACAAACAAACCCGTCTCTGAAGTGTGTGAGTCGTGGAGAGCAAGCAAGAGAGTGAGCATGCTCTCTGGCAGGTTGTCCCCAGGCAGGGCCCATAATCCTGTTTGGTTATTAAAGCACGCCGGCGGTGGATGCTGTATCTGCGGCTAATGGAGGCAGGGCGGGGGTTTTGAGAGAAGGAAGGGGGGCAGAGAGAGCTGCCAGCAGTAGGGGGACCTTTGTAGTTTTGGCGGAGGCTTGGGCCTGGGGGCTGGGGGAGAAATGGGGAGAGGGGGTTTTGCTGAGCAGTCCACACTGAGCCAAGTGGCAGAGAGAAAGCCTCACTGCTCCCTGGGGCCTCTTCGATGGAATGTGATCCTACAGCCCCCCCGGACACGTCTGTAGATGTCTGCAAGGCTGCGAGATCAGGAACAGCTACACACACAGCTACACGCACACGTATACACCAGAAAACAATGAAAATGAGGCATGAGGCAAAATGAGAGGCTCTTGGTTTTGTGAAAGTCTTGTGAAAGTCTCATCCAAATTCCCGTCACAGGCCGTATGTTGCTGCAGCTTATTCCCAATGCTGTTTCCAATGCTAGACTTAGCACTAACTCGGCAGCATATAACTAGAGGAGTTTCAAATGACTCTGTGCTTTACAGCTTTGCAATCAACAAAAGGTTAGAGGTTACATTAATGTTTGAACATTGCAGCGTCTGTGTACTAGTAGACCTCCACGAAAGATGTATCGGGCATCCTTATTAGCAGGTTGACACTTAAAGATATATGAGCCAGCATTGCCTGTCACCAGAGTGCCCATAAAGGATTCTAAGATGCTTTTCCATTTATGATTGATGTATTGCCACTGACATCTTGCTCCTTCTAACCCATTCCTCCTTCCCCAGGTTCTAGAGCGTCTCCAACAGCGTGGGTTTGAGATCGCCGGCTCCTGTGGCGGAGGCGTCGACTCATCCCAATTCAGCGAATACGTCCTGAGGAGGGAACTGAGGAGGACGAGTCAGCGAGGATCCAATTCAAACAGGATAAAGCAAGAGCAGCTGGACTAGAAACCTCCCGAGCAGTAGGAGGTGCTAGACTTTTCTGTGGCAGCCAAACTCTTGATGCTGCAGAGCTCTGTGGACTCTGGTTTTTCTTCGTTTTCTTGTTGATGTTTTTGTTTTCTTAAACTTGAGAACCATCTAGAGAATAAAAATGAGGTGCAACAGGAGAATTTTTTGCCATAAGAAGATACAAGACATTTGATAAGTTTGAGATTGCAAGGACATTTGTGATTGTCTAGCCCCCATAAGCCAATTTAAAAAGGATTTATATACGCTGGATCCCCAAACAAAGTTTGTTTTAAAACTTAGAGCCTACATTAGGTTAAATATGATTTCTGTTATACCCATATAAATTAATAAGGCTTTTATTGCTGATGTAGTATGTTGCATAGCTTGTCAGCAGTGACTTGATTTTGTTGTCTCACTGGCAAATTGGCTAAGTCTGTTTTTATCCCTTGCTGTAAAAAGGTCACTAATGTGTTGCTTACAGTACAGAATGTCTCAGTTGTCATTAACAGTTAGTTTCAACAAAGCATCTTTTTTCACAATTAACATGATGTTGAATATTGTGATACCAATGAAGTGTTTTTTTGTTTGTTTTTTACTTTAATGGACGTTATTATATTGGATTATGCCATAACATATAGTTAACATTTGTATCATCAAAATTAAACATCAAACACCATTCTATACGCAGTAAAGAAATTAATTTAGTAAATTATTATGTCACACCATTTGCCTCACTGGGGAGTATGAACTACCGTCCCCCATGTGCTACATTGGGAATTATTTAATTGGATCATAATATTCCTCTGAGTCAAGACCTTTCAATTTTTTCATTGTATATGTGTTTGTGTTTTTTACATTGAATCTTTTTAAAGCAAATCTGTTGCCTCAGACATGACTGAACAGAATAAAGCTTATTGTACTACCCACTCCAAGATCACTTTTACTTGTAGCACATATTAATATGAAGTTGGATATAAAGTATTTCTAAGATTACTGACCCACCTACGCTCCCTAGATTTGAGTAAAGAGGAATGTAGCAAAAAATGTGAAATAAATCTCAACTAAAGTTGTCATGGTGTCTGTTTGCTATTTTTATGTTGCTGTAGAGACTGCTTTCACATTTCTGCCCAGCATTGCAATTCAAGCACAGTGGTTAAAAAGTAATTCCTTAAATGACTGCATCTACCTTTTAACATCCTGAATGTGTTCAAGAAGATTTCACATTATGTAGCGCTTTATAGCTCTCTACAACCAGAGAGGTAAAGCTAACTTTACCAAGACAATATTGTACTTTGGAGGATTTATGCTGGTGCATCAGTGACTACATGGGGCATTCTTTACTTAGTTATATTGAATAGAGCCGACTTCTCCACGCAACTCCTGTCAGTTGTGCTTCCACATATCCCTGCAGGGCCAAAATCCAAAGTGAAATCCCACACGGAGCCCTGTCGTCTTGTCTTCATCCCTTTTGGCAGAATCTCCACTTTCTTTGGCTATCTACGGTTTATGCTATATGTCTCCCTTTCAGGCCTCTTTGCCCTAGATTCCCTTTTGACTGACTGTTTTTCTCATAGGCTAGAGGTGCAACTATGAGTGGTATAAAGCAATGCTCTTAATCATAAAATCAAAATTTCAGTGCCCGTGTAATTACAAAGTAGTCATGGCACAGGTATCGAACATGAGTTAAAATTTGTGTAACATTTTGGAGGATTTATCTATCTATATAAATTGAAGAAAATATTTATAACTATATTTTATTAGTGTATAATCACCTGAATATTGGAACTTTTATGTTTTTGTTACCTTAGAATTAGCATTTTATGCCTAAATACACCGCGGGTCACCTTCCATGGAGTCCACCAAACCCAAATATATATCTGAGTTTGTTTACTACATGAACCCCAATGCATGGCCATTAAAAATAGTAATTGTTTTCCTAAAATTAAATGCTGTTAAAGGTGGTGTAAGAAAGAGAGAGAATGAACATGTGTTTAGTTTAAAATTCAGCAGCACTTTTTTGCACCCTGTGTGATTTTTAAGTTTGTTACCTGTGGGGCAGCCTGAGTTTAATGAGACCCTGTCCAGCCCTATCTCTTCTCACTTCCTGGATTCACACTAACTTGAAAAGGAATTAGAGATAGCCTCCTCTCCGGACACAGCCTGTTGGAGAAAAGATGAATGGTATTAAGAAACTGACTTCCAGTCCTTTAGAGGACAGGGGTTTTGAGGAGAATAAAGCAATTTGAGATCCTCCTCTCTTCTGTGGTGTGTCTGTGATCATGTCTCTCTCACTCGCTTTCTCTCTAGTGATTATTTCCAGTCATCAAAAGGCAGAGTAGGCCCTGGAGAAAGTGGCCGTGGCCATCTTTCCCTCACTCCCCAGGCTCTGCTTACTCACCACTAGTGAAGGTCAGTGGATGGACTCATTCACCTCATCTTCAAATCATCAGCCCTCACATTGCTCAGTTATACAGCACCGTGCAAGCAGTGGCTACTGTTCCCAATGAATGTCCAAACTAAATACACTTATTAGATGATATACTTTGTACTCTGGAGTTAGTCTTATTCTATTTGCAGTGCTTTCTCTTGTTCTGTGTTGATCTGTAGGTAATATTCTGTACTGTAGGTGCCTCCTACCTTTATTGAAAAAGCCTCTTGGCTATTTTATGCCAGCAAGATAATTATAAATGTAACCCGTGGCAAAAAAGCAAAACACAACTCCCACATCTCTCCCTTGCCATTTCTCTCTTTCTCTTTCTTTCTCTCTCTCTCCTCTCTTCTCTCTGTCCTTCTCTCTTCCCGCCCTCTCCTCCTCCCTAAGCCTCGGGACCTGATTTCAAATTTTCAAAGATATCTCATAGTGAGGCTGTGAGATTGAAGGCTCATAAATACCTTTATTATAATATAATGGCCACATATTTCTAGCAATTATTTCTAGTGGAAAAATTAGTTCATCTGTGTGATGAATGCCTGCACAGTCTTTGGGGCTTCAAATGTTCTTAGATGGACAATTGCTGGTAGGATAATATCTCAAATGGACACTCGCTAGTAGAATAATATGTCACAGTGGCTTTGCTTGAGTTAGAGAAATTTGAGTCTTAGTGTGAAATGGAGTTAGTCTAAAGACAAAAAGTGGAGCTCACACCTGTGCTGATACAGGTTGTGGGCGCAAACTTGTTTGAGAAGAAGGCTGCATGCAAAAGAGAAATCCTTACTTTTGTTTCTGCAGTGACATATCAACACATAATCCTTAAAGTCTTCTATTTTGCAGTAGCCCAAGGCAACTTGTATGAATCAATTTTTAATGTATAACAGTTTTTAACCCAAAAAGCTTCGATAACCTCTATGGTGGTTTTGACAGCTCAGCCATACAAGATGTTTTGGCAGCAGCCCCGTTTCTTGGATAGTAAAGCAAGAGTGGAGGTGGATGGTCAGTGATGAAAGCCAACAATAGTCTATTTTCATTCAAATAGCATGTACTTAATAATTTTCTATAATACTTAATGTTATTCCTCAAAATGTGTTTTCTAGTATATTTTAATAGAGTTCTCCTGTGATGTAGTATTGTACTTCCTTAAATTTGGGGGATTTACAGTTAAAAAAGAAAGTTTCTGTCAAAATCGATGCAGCGGAACCTGAAACATCCTAATGGGTCAACACTGAATCGTACACTTCCCAAAATGTTAACAAGACTAAGGGTCTACACAGCCATGCTAGCAGCTCTGTGATACTTTTTTCGCTTTGAGATAAATACTAATGCTCACCATGGTAATGCTAGCATAGGGATGTTCACCATATTCACGTTTAATTTTGGTCATAAAGCAAAATAATCAGTGAGGGAATCAAAAACATTCTGTTGGTACCATGAATTAGAGCCCTGCACAGGCCTGTTTTTTTTTTTAATCCTGCTCCTGCCCGCCTTCTGACTATTCTCTGGGGGCCATGAATGTTTTTTACAGAATTTTATTTCAATCCACCCTGTTGATAAGATATTACAGATTGGACCAAAGTGGTGGACCAACCGACCGACATTGCCATTGCTGGAGCCATGTTGCTAGCATGGCAAAAAATTTTAGTCTCCAAGCCAAAACTGTGATTGCTCAAGTGATGTAGCTTGAGCAATTTTGTAATACTTGACAAAATTTATAGAGCCACAGAAGAGAAAATTCTACTGTTCTGTTAGGCTATGCAGTAGTCTACGTGACTACTAAATTGACTTAGACATGTAGAATCAGTTGAGTTCCCCCTTGGATAAAAAAGTGAAAGAGAATCAGAAAGGTAATCAACTTAGCTGTTTAAAATAATGCAGTCTGTTAATTAACTATTGAATGTAAATGTTAGCACTTAATTATGACTAAAGATCCTGAGAGCACTGATTTTGTAGCATTATATATAATTTTCTTGCACCTTGCCGGGCTACACTTGGCTTGCCTTATTTGTCAAAAACAGTAGATTTTACACACCGAACTTCGTCAGTACCTCTACTCACCTCATGGTAATTGGGCCCTAATATGTTACAGTGCTCCAAGTGGAGAATTTGAGGTAGTGCTCCACAACATGCTGGCTTTCCATTGTTTATTTATCAGTCAGGCCTTGAGTTATGGTGCGCTTGCAGTGAGGAATTTTAGACCGGACTATGGTCGCTGCAGGCCCCTTGGCATACACTGTACACTGAGAGGGAATCATTTATATTCTACTCCAGAGGTAACAGAAGAACATGAGATTGGGAAACAGCTCAAACACCACTCTGCTTGTGAGGCTTTAGGCGCAGAAAAGTCAAGCTGTTTTTTTTGTGGGGCTGCAGAGCATATTCAAGCAAGTTATGTTTTTCTTTTCTATTTTTTTAAATAGTTTCTCCAAAAATCTCCTAATAAATATGCTGTGCTCAGTTATACCTTCACGCTCACACATTTTACACTGACTCTCTATGGCTCAGTGGAGGTGTGATGGAATGCTGGCTTTGGTGAAATTTTCAGCAGCAGTGAAATCTGACCGTTGAAGCTGCCTGTAAATGCTATAGGTGCCACATTCTAACCTGTATTGAAAAAGCCTGGAGGGCGTTTTAAGCAACTAAGATAATTGCAAATGTATCCTTTGGCAAAAACATCAGCAAATACGCCCCCTCCCTCACTCCATTTCTCTTTTCTCTCACTCCCTCCCTCTCTTGGTAGAGAATTAATAAGGGCTACCTATCCTTGATTAAAAGGTCTCAACTGTACTGTATTGCTCACCGGTAGCACCCCTCCCTGCACCAGCCTTTCACATGGGTAGACCTGCATGTTAGGACTGCTCTAATGATTCTGTAGCTTGCCATTCGAGGGCCACCCATCCATCATAGTGGTAAGGCCAGCGGCTTTATTATAATACAGAGGACAGACATGCTCCGAGGCTATGTGGGACACAATAGAGGTCTTTCAACAGACCTATAAATACATGATCTGTCAGAGTTGCTGTCCTGAGGGCGCTCTCAGCTAGGCTCTAGCCCTCCGGTTGGCCATCACTTATGCTAAGATATGCGCTAGCCCCCGGGCTAAGGCTAAGGCTCAGTTCATTTCAGCCCCTCATCAACCACCACATTCTACCTCCAGCCATGAGAATAAATAAGAACAAGATGAAAAAAAAGTGATTCATTATGATGGAGAGCAAAACCTTAACAAAACAAACAAATGGAGGGAGTGAAAACAAACAGTGATAGCCTACTATTGACTCTTTGGCAGCAGCATCTGAAAAGCTGTTGCTGAAAAAACACAGGGGGATTTTGATCCAACAGCACACGTCAGTATAGGAAAAGGCTGACCATATGGGCTGAGACATTTGTTTTGTCATATCACTGCTATAACAACTTTATTTAGAGTATCCACTAAATAAAAGATGTGTCTTTTGGATGTGTATGAGGCTGGATGAAGAAGTTGAAGATCTCTGTCTCCCATCAGCTTTTCCTCCAATATGTTTTTGTAAGTATATTTTAAGTGATATATGCAGCCCCTCCTCCTCCCCCCCGCTCCTCTCCTCACCTTATCTCAGGTGAGAAT